TGGGCACACCTGGGCACAGTCAGATACACTTGGGCACACCTGGGATGGGTGGGGAAGGACCCTGTGGGCCACCACAGAACGTGGAGCAGACCAGGGTCATTGTGGGGACCTCCACAGGTGAGGGCACACCTGGGCACACACCTGAGGGCTCACCTGAGAACACACCTGGGCACACCTGGGGGCCATGAAACCTCATTTCGGGGTGGAAAAACGGGGTTTGGGGTCAGTTCCCCATTGGCCACCACAGCGTGGTGCAGACCGTGGTCATTGTGGGGACCTCCACAGGTGAGAACACCTGAGGGCTCACCTGGGCACACCTGAGAACACACCTGGGCACACCTGAGAACACACCTGGGCACACACCTGAGAACACACCTGGGCACACCTGAGGGCTCACCTGGGCACACCTGGGCACACCTGAGTGCTCACCTGGGCACACCTGAGCACACACCTGGGCACACACCTGGGCACACCTGATGAGTGGAGCCATGGTGGGGTCAGCAGGTGTCACCTGGGCACACCTGGGCACACCTGGGGGCCGTAAAACCTCATTTCGGGGTGGAAAAACGGCGTTTGGGGTCCAAAAAAGTCAACCTGGGTCATGAAAAGTCAACCGGGGTCATCAGAAGTCAACTGGGGCCATCTTGGGGCCATGAGATGTTGAGTGGAGCCATGGTGGGGTCAGCAGGTGTCACCTGGGCACACCTGGGCACACCTGGGGGCCGTGAAACCTCATTTTGGGGTGGAAAAACGGGGTTTGGGGTCCCAAAAATGGGGTTATGGGGGTGTCAGAGGTCAATTGGAGTCCCCTTGGGGCCATGAGATGTTGAGTGGAGCCGTGCTGGGGTCAGCAGGTGTCACCTGCGCACACCTGGGCACACCTGGGGGCCGTAAAACCTCATTTCGGGGTGGAAAAACGGCGTTTGGGGTCCAAAAAAGTCAACCTGGGTCATGAAAAGTCAACCGGGGTCATAAAAAGTCAACAGGGGTCATTTTGGGTCATGAGATGTGGAGTGGAGCCGTGCTGGGGTCAGCAGGTGTCACCTGCGCACACCTGGGCACACCTGGGGGCCGTAAAACCTCATTTTGGGGTGGGAAAACGGGGTTTGGGGTCCCAAAAATGGGGTTATGGGGTTGTCAGAGGTCAATTGGAGTCACCTTGGGGCCATGAGATGTTGAGTGGAGCCGTGCTGGGGTCAGCAGGTGTCACCTGCGCACACCTGGGCACACCTGGGGGCCGTGAAACCTCATTTTGGGGTGGAAAAACGGGGTTTGGGGTCCCAAAAATGGGGTTATGGGGTTGTCAGAGGTCAAGTTGGGTCATCTTGGGTCATGAGATGTGGAGTGGAGCCGTGCTGGGGTCAGCAGGTGTCACCTGGGCACACCTGGGAGCCGTAAAATGTCATTTTGGGGATGGAAAAACTGGGTTTGGGGTCATCAAAAGTCAACTGGAGTCATCCCAGTTCATCCCAGTTGCCTCCTTGTGACCCCCCAGACCAGAGACTGGATGTGGTGGTCACTCTTTGGTCACTCCTTGGTCACTCCTTGGTCACCCTTTGATGTCTCTAGTTGACCTTGGAGACGTTCCAGTTGCCCCCAGTCCATCCCAGCTCATCCCAGTTGCCCCCAGATTGCCCCAGTTTGTCCCAGTTTGTCCCAGTCCATCCCAGTCCATCCCAGTTCTGCCCCCAGACCAGAAGCCGGACGTGGTGGTCACTCCTTGGTCACTCCTTGGTGTCTCCAGTCGACCTTGGAGACGTTCCAGTTGCCCCCAGTCCATCCCAGTTTGCCCCAGTCCACCCCAGTTTGCCCCAGTCCATCCCAGTCCATCCCAGTCCATCCCAGTTCTGCCCCCAGACCAGAAGCCGGACGTGGTGGTCACTCCTTGGTGTCTCCAGTTGAACTTGGAGACGTTCTAGTGGCGCCCAGTCCATCCCAGTCCATCCCAGTCCATCCCAGCTCATCCCAGCTTGTCCCAGTTGCCCCCAGTCCATCCCAGTTTGCCCCAGTCCATCCCAGTTTGCCCCAGTCCATCCCAGTCCATCCCAGTCCATCCCAGTTCTGCCCCCAGACCAGAAGCCGGACGTGGTCACCCTTTGGTGTCTCCAGTTGACCTTGGAGATGTTCCAGTTGCCCCAGACTGGTCCCAGTTTGCCCCAGTTTGTCCCAGCTGGTCCCAAACTGGTCCCAGTTTGCCCCAGTCCATCCCAGTTTGCCCCAGTTGCCCCCATTGCCCCCCAGACCAGAAGCCGGACGTGGTGTACGCCGACATCGGCGGCATGGACATCCAGAAGCAGGAGGTGCGCGAGGCCGTGGAGCTGCCCCTCACCCACTTCGAGCTCTACAAGCAGGTGACACCGCGGGGACAACCTGGGGACATTGGGGACATCGTGGGGACATCCTGGGGACACCCAGGGACACCCAGGGACAGCCAGGGGACACCCAGGGGACATTGGGGACATCCTGGGGACATCCTGGGGACATCGTGGGGACAACCAGGGGACACACTGGGGACAGCCAGGGGACACCCAGGGACAGCCAGGGGACATCGTGGGGACGACCAGGGGACACCCAGGGGACACCCAGGGACACCCAGGGGACACTGGGGACAGCCAGGGGACATCCAGGGGACAGCCAGGGGACACCCAGGGACACCCAGGGGACACTGGGGACAGCCAGGGGACATCCAGGGGACAGCCAGGGGACACCCAGGGACAGCCAGGGGACACCCAGGGACAGCCAGGGGACATCCAGGGGACACCCAGGGGACATCGTGGGGACATCAGGGACAGCCAGGGGACATCGTGGGGACATCAGGGACAGCCAGGGGACACCCTGGGGACACCCAGGGACAGCCAGGGGACACCCAGGGACAGCCAGGGGACATCGTGGGGACATCGGGGACGTCATGGGGACCTCAGGGACAGCCAGGGAACCTTCAGGGGCATCCAGGGACATCATGGGGACCTTGGGGATATCCAGGGGACCTCGGGGACCTCCAGGCCACCTTGAGGACCCTGAGGTGACCTTGGGGACCCTGAGGTGATCTCCAGGTGACCTTGAGGACCCTCAGGTGACCTTGAGGACCTCCAGGCCACCTAGGGGACCCTGAGGTGACCTCCAGGTGGCCTTGAGGACCCTGAGGTGACCTCAGGGACCCTGAGGTGACTTCCAGGCCACCTTGAGGACCCTCAGGTGACCTTGAGGACCTCCAGGCCACCTAGGGGACCCTGAGGTGACCTCCAGGTGGCCTTGGGGACCCTGAGGTGACCTCAGGGACCCTGAGGTGACTTCCAGGCCACCTTGAGGACCCTCAGGTGACCTTGAGGAGCCTGAGGTGGCCTCCAGATGACCTTGAGGACCCTCAGGTGACCTTCAGGACCTCCAGGTGACCTCCAGGACCTCCAGGTGATCTCCAGGCCACCTTGAGGACCCTGAGGTGGCCTTGAGGACCTCCAGGTGACTTCCAGGCCACCTTGGGGACCCTCAGGTGACCTTGAGGACCCTGAGGTGCCCTTGGGGACCCTCAGGTGACCCTGGGGACCCTCAGGTGATCTCCAGGCCACCTTGAGGACCCTGAGGTGACCCTCAGGTGGCCCTGGGGACGCTGAGGTGACCTCCAGGTGGCCTTGAGGACCCTCAGGTGACCTTGGGGACCCTGAGGTGACCTTGGGGACCCTCAGGTGATCTCCAGGCCACCTTGAGGACCCTGAGGTGACCCTCAGGTGGCCCTGGGGACGCTGAGGTGACCTCCAGGTGACCTTGAGGACCCTGAGGTGACCTTGGGGACCCTGAGGTGGCCCTGGGGACGCTGAGGTGACCCTGAGGTGGCCCTGGGGACGCTGAGGTGGCCTTGGGTGGCCCTGGGGACGCTGAGGTGGCCTCCAGGTGACCTTGGGGATGCTGAGGTGACCCTGAGGTGGCCCTGGGGATGCTAAGGTGACCCTGAGGTGGCCCTGGGGACGCTGAGGTGGCCTCCAGGTGGCCTCAGCCGCGCGCTGTCCCCTCCCGCAGATCGGCATTGACCCCCCGCGGGGGGTGCTCATGTACGGCCCCCCCGGCTGCGGCAAGACCATGCTGGCCAAGGCCGTGGCACACCTGGGGACGCTGAGGTGGCCCTGGGGACGCTAAGGTGACCTCCAGGTGGCCTTGAGGACCCTGAGGTGGCCTTGGGTGGCCCTGGGGACGCTGAGGTGGCCTTGGGTGGCCCTGGGGACGCTGAGGTGGCCTCCAGGTGGCCTCAGCCGCGCGCTGTCCCCTCCCGCAGATCGGCATTGACCCCCCGCGGGGGGTGCTCATGTACGGCCCCCCCGGCTGCGGCAAGACCATGCTGGCCAAGGCCGTGGCACACCACACCACCGGTGAGCGCGGGGACACCGGGGGCTTGGGGACATCTGGGGGGGGTTTGGGGACACCACCGGTGAGCGCGGGGACACCGGGGGCTTGGGGACATCTGGGGGGGGTTTGGGGACACCACCGGGGCTGAGGAACCTTCTGGATGGAGGTCAGGAGAACCTCAAGGTGGGGTTTGAGGACCCCAGACTGGGGGTGAGGGGTTGGGACCCCCAAATTGGGGAGGGGTCCCCGTTGGGGTGGGGTCTGGGGGGTCCTGGGTGGAGTCTGGGGGGTCCTGGGTGGATTTGGGGTGGGTTTTGGGGGTGAGGAACCTTGTGGATGGAGGTCAGGAGAACCTCAAGGTGGGATTTAAGGACCCCAGATTGGAAATTAGGGGTTGGGACTCCCAGATTGAGGAGGGGTCTCCACTGGGGTGGGGTTTGGGGGGTCCTTAGTGGAGTTTGGGGGGTCCTGGGTGGATTTGGGATGGGTTTTTGGGGTGAGGAACCTTCTGGAGAACCTTGGGATGAAGACCAGGGTGGGATTTGGGGACCCTTTGGGTGGTCTTGGGGTGTGGGAGGGGGTTGGGACCCCCAAATTGGGTTGGGTGGATTTTGGGGTCATCGGGATGGAATTTGGGGTCACCTGGATGGAATTTGGGATTTGGGGTGGGTTTTGGGGCTGAGGAACCTTCTGGAGAACCTCGGGGTGAAACTCAGCAACACCTGGGTGGAATTTGGGATCGCCTGGATGAAATTTGGGGTCTTGGGTGGGTTTTGGGTGGATTTTGGGGTCACCTGGACGGAATTTGGGGTTTTGGGTGGAATTTGGGGTGAGGAACCTTCTGGAGAACCTCGGGATGAAACTCAGCAACACCTGGGTGGAATTTGGGGTCACCTGGATGAAATTTGGGGTTTTGGGCGGAATTTGTGGTTTTGGGTGGGATTTGGGATTTTGGGTGGAATCCCCAAATCCGTTGTCCCAAAATCTCCGTTTTTCGCCCCAAGCCGACCGCGAGGTCCAGCGGATCCTCCTGGAGCTGCTCAACCAGATGGACGGCTTCGACCAGAACGTCAACGTCAAGGTGAGCCCGGCTGTCCCCAGGTGTCCTCAGGTGTCCCCAGGTGTGTCTCAGGTGTCCCCAGGTGTGACCCGGGTGTCCCCAGGTGTCCTCAGGTGTCCCCAGGTGTGTCCCAGGTGTCCCCAGGTGTCCCCAGGTGTCCCCAGGTGTCCCCAGGTGTGTCCCAGGTGTCCCCAGGTGTGTCCCCAGGTGTCCCCAGCTGTCCCCAGGTGTGACCCGGGTGTCCCCAGCTGTCCCCAGGTGTCCCCAGCTGTCCCCAGGTGTTCCCAGGTAGCTCCAGGTGACCATGGCCACCAACCTGGGCACACCTGGGCACACCTGGATTGGGATTTCCAGGGGGTTTATTGGCGTTTTGGGGGGTTTTGGGGGATTTTCTGGGATTTTGGGGATCTCACCTGTGCCCAGGTGTGTCCTCACGTGTCACCTGTGCCCAGGTGATCATGGCCACGAACTGCGCGGACACCTGGGCACACCTGGGCACACCTGGGCACACCTGGAGTGGGATTTTATGGGATTTTTTGGGGGTTTTTTGTGGTTTTATTGGGTTTTTTTGGGGGGGTTTTGTGGGGTTTTGGGGATCTCAGGTGTGCCCTGACCCCTCACCTGCGCCCAGGTGATCATGGCCACGAACCGCGCGGACACCTGGGCACACCTGGGCACACCTGGCTCAGGAATTATGGGATTTTATGGGGTTTTTTGGGGGTTTATGGGATTTTATGGAATGTTATGAGGTTTTGGGATCTCACCTGAGCCCAGGTGTGTCCTCACGTGTCACCTGTGCAGGTGATCATGGCCAGGAACCTGGGCACACCTGGGCACAGCTGGGCACACCTGGCTCAGGATTTCCAGGGGTTTTATGGGGTTTTGTGGGATTTTTTGGGGGGTTTTGTGGGGTTTAATGGGGTTTTGTGGGGTTTTGGGGATCTCAGGTGTGCCCAGGTGTGTCCTCACGTGTCACCTGCGCAGGTGATCATGGCCACGAACTGCGCGGACACCTGGGCACACCTGGGCACACCTGGAGCGGGATTTTATGGGATTTTTTTGGGGTTTTTTGTGGTTTTATTGGGGTTTTTTTGGGGGGGGGGTTCTGGGATTTTGGGGATCTCAGGTGTGCCCTGACCCCTCACCTGCGCAGGTGATCATGGCCACGAACCGCGCGGACACCTGGGCACACCTGGGCACACCTGGCTCAGGAATTATGGGATTTTATGGGGTTTTTTGGGGGTTTATGGGATTTTATGGAATGTTATGAGGTTTTGGGATCTCACCTGAGCCCAGGTGTGTCCTCACGTGTCACCTGTGCAGGTGATCATGGCCAGGAACCTGGGCACACCTGGGCACAGCTGGGCACACCTGGCTCAGGATTTCCAGGGGTTTTATGGGGTTTTGTGGGATTTTTTGGGGGGTTTTGTGGGGTTTAATGGGGTTTTGTGGGGTTTTGGGGATCTCAGGTGTGCCCAGGTGTGTCCTCACGTGTCACCTGCGCAGGTGATCATGGCCACGAACTGCGCGGACACCTGGGCACACCTGGGCACACCTGGAGCGGGATTTTATGGGGTTTTTTTGGGGTTTTTGGTGGTTTTAATGGGGTTTTGGGACCTCACCTGTGCCCACGCGTGTCCTCACGTGTCACCTGCGCAGGTGATCATGGCCATGAACCGCGCGGACACCTGGGCACACCTGGATCAGGAATTATGGGATTTTATTGGGGTTTTTTTTGTTTTATTGGGTTTTTTGAGGGATTTTATGGGATTTCATGGGATTTTCTGGGGTTTTGGGACCTCACCTGTGCCCACGCGTGTCCTCACGTGTCACCTGCGCAGGTGATCATGGCCACGAACCGCGCGGACACCTGGGCACACCTGGGCACACCTGGCTCAGGAATTATGGGATTTTTTTGGGGTTTTTTGGGGGATTTTATGGGATTTTCTGGGGTTTTGGGACCTCACCTGTGCCCACGCGTGTCCTCACGTGTCACCTGCGCAGGTGATCATGGCCATGAACCGCGCGGACACCTGGGCACACCTGGATCAGGAATTATGGGATTTTATTGGGGTTTTTTTTGTTTTATTGGGTTTTTTGAGGGATTTTATGGGATTTCATGGGATTTTCTGGGGTTTTGGGACCTCACCTGTGCCCACGCGTGTCCTCACGTGTCACCTGCGCAGGTGATCATGGCCACGAACCGCGCGGACACGCTGGACCCGGCGCTGCTGCGGCCGGGCCGCCTGGACCGCAAGATCGAGTTCCCGCTGCCCGACCGGCGCCAGAAGCGCCTCATCTTCTCCACCATCACCGGCAAGATGAACCTGTCCGAGGAGGTGGACCTGGAGGACTGTATCCACCTGGGGGCACACCTGGGCATGGCTGGGGGCACCTGGGGCACCTAGAAACACAGCTGGGCACACACCTGGGCACACCTGGGGGCACCTGGGGGGGTTAGAAACACACCTGGATGTGCCAGGAACACACCTGGGCACACCTGGGCACACACCTGGGGGGGTTAGAAACACAGCTGGGGGACTAGAAACACACCTGGGCACACAGCTGGGCACAGCTGGGGGTGTTAGAAACACACCTGGGGGGGGGAGGAACACACCTGGGCACACCTGGGCACGGCTTAGGGGGTTAGAAACACACCTGGGGGGGTTAGGAACACACCTGGGCACACCTGGGCAGGCCACGGGCACACCTGGGCACACCTGGGCACGGCTTAGGGGGTTAGAAACACACCTGGGGGGGTTAGGAACACACCTGGGCATGGCTGGGGGCACCTGGGGGTGTTAGGAACACACCTGGGGGGGTTAGAAACACACCTGGGGGGGTAGGAACACACCTGGGGGGGTTAGGAGCACACCTGGGGGGTTAGGAACACACCTGGGCATGCCAAGGGCACACCTGGGCACACCTGGCCATTTCCTTGACCCCTGACCCAGACGTGGCGCGGCCGGACAAGATCTCGGGGGCCGACATCAACTCCATCTGCCAGGAGGTGAGCGCACACCTGGGCACACCTGGGTACACCTGGACACACCTGGGACGGGTCTGGCACACCTGGGCACACCTGGGACAGGTGTGAGACACACCTGGGACAGGCCTGGCACACCTGGGACAGGTGTGGGGCACACCTGGGCACACCTGGGACAGGTGTGAGACACACCTAGGACAGGCCTGGCACTCCTGGGACAGGTGTGGGGCACACCTGGGCACACCTGGGATGGGTCTGGCACACCTGGGCACACCTGGGGCAGGTGTGACACCTGGGAAACAGTGGCGCAGCAGAGTGGGGACACCTGGGGGGGCGAGCGTGACACAGGTGTGACACCTGCGGGTGGGGGGGACCGGTGACACCAGGCACAGGTGACAACAGAGGTGGCACAGGTGACACAGGGCTGGCTGTGGGTGACACAGGTGACACCCAGGTGACACTGAGGTGGCACAGGTGACACAGGGCTGGCTGGGGGTGACACAGGTGACACACAGGTGACACTGAGGTGGCACAGGTGACACAGGGCTGGCTGTACACCTGGGATGGGTCTGGCACACCTGGGCACACCTGGGACAGGTGTGGGACACACCTGGGACAGGCCTGGCACACCTGGGACAGGTGTGGGGCACACCTGGACACACCTGGGATGGGTCTGGCACACCTGGGCACACCTGGGACAGGTGTGGGGCACACCTGGGACAGGCCTGACACACCTGGGTGTGCCTGGGCACATTTAGGACACACCTGGGCACACCTGGGGCAGGTGTGACACCTGGGAAACAGTGACACAGCAGAGTGGGGACACCTGGGGGCGAGCGTGACACAGGTGTGACACCTGCGGGTGGGGGGGACCGGTGACACCAGGCACAGGTGACAACGGGAGGTGGCACAGGTGACACAGGGCTGGCTGTGGGTGACACAGGTGACACCCAGGTGACACTGAGGTGGCACAGGTGACACAGGGCTGGCTGTGGGTGGCACAGGTGACACCCAGGTGACACTGAGGTGGCACAGGTGGCACAGGGCTGGCTGTGGGTGACACAGGTGACACCCAGGTGACACTGAGGTGGCACAGGTGACACAGGGCTGGCTGTAGGTGACACAGGTGACACAGGTGACACTCAGGTGTCCCAGGTGACACTCAGGTGACACAGAGGTGCCACTGTCCCCAGGGCGGCATGCTGGCGGTGCGCGAGAACCGGTACCGGGGCTGGCACAGGTGACACAGGTGTGGCTGTAGCTCAGTGTAGGTGGCAGTGGTGTGGCAGTGGGTGTCCCAGGTGACACTGAGGTGACACAGAGGTGACACTGTCCCATGTCCCCAGGGCGGCATGCTGGCTGTCAGGGAGAACAGGTACAGGGGTTGGCACAGGTGACACAGGTGACACAGGGCTGGCTGTGACTCCGTGTGGGTGGCTGTAGGTGACACAGGTGCCACTCAGGTGACACAGGTGACACTGAGGTGCCACTGTCCCGTGTCCCCAGGGCGGCATGCTGGCGGTGCGTGAGAACCGGTACAGGGGCTGGCACAGGGGTGGCTGTGGGTGACACAGGTGACACTCAGGTGACACTCAGGTGACACAGGTGACACTGTCCCGTGTCCCCAGGGTGGCATGCTGGCCGTCAGGGAGAACCGGTACAGGGGCTGGCACAGGTGTGGCTGTGAGTGACACAGGTGACATTCAGGTGTCCCAGGTGACACTGAGGTGACACTGAGGTGCCACTGTCCCGTGTCCCCAGGGCGGCATGCTGGCGGTGCGTGAGAACCGGTACAGGGGCTGGCACAGGGGTGGCTGTGGGTGTCCCAGGTGACACTCAGGTGACACTCAGGTGACACTGTCCCGTGTCCCCAGGGCGGCATGCTGGCCATCAGGGAGAACCGGTACAGGGGCTGGCACAGGGGTGGCTGTGGGTGACACGGTACAGGGGCTGGCACAGGTGACACAGGGCTGGCTGTGGCTCAGTGTGGGTGGCTGTAGGTGGCACAGATGACACTCAGGTGACACTGTCCCGTGTCCCCAGGGCGGCATGCTGGCGGTGCGCGAGAACCGGTACATCGTGCTGGCCAAGGACTTTGAGAAGGCGTACAAAACCGTCATCAAGAAGGACGAGCAGGAGCACGAGTTCTACAAGTGACACCGCGGGGACACCCTGGGGACACCTTGGGGACACCTTGGGGACACCCCTGGGATATTGCGGGGACACCTTGGGGACGTTCAAATAAAGCTGAGACCGGAGCGAGAGCGTTGGAGCCTTTTTGGGGACACCCTTGGGGACAAGGGGACACCCTGGGGACAGTGGGAAGGACTTGGGGACATTCCTTGGGACATGGGGACACCTTTGGGGACCTGGGGACACCCTTGGGGGGACTGGAATGGATCTGGGGACACTGGGAAGGACTTGGGGACATTCCTCGGGACATGGGGACACCTTTGGGGACCTGGGGACACCCTTGGGGACACTGGGACATGGCTGGGGACACCCTTGGGGACACCAGGAGGGACCTGGGGACACCCATGGGGACACTGGGATGGCCCTGGCACTCAGGTGACACTGTCCCGTGTCCCCAGGGCGGCATGCTGGCGGGGCGCGAGAACCGGTACATCGTGCTGGCCAAGGACTTTGAGAAGGCGTACAAAACCGTCATCAAGAAGGACGAGCAGGAGCACGAGTTCTACAAGTGACACCGCGGGGACACCTGGGGACACCTGGGGACACCTGGGGACACCTGGGGACACCTGGGGACACCTGGGGACACCTGGGGACACCTGGGGACACCTGGGGACACTGCGGACACCTTGGGGACACCCCTGGGATATTGCGGGGACACCTTGGGGACGTTCAAATAAAGCTGAGACCGGAGCGAGAGCGTTGGAGCCTTTTTGGGGACACTTTGGGGACTTGGGGACACCCCTAGGGACATCAGGAGGGACCTGGGGACGCTTTGGGGACTTGGGGACACCAGGAGGAAGCTGGGGACACTGGGGTGGCCTTGTGAACACTCCTGGAGACACCCCTGGGGACACTGGGATGGCCTTGGGGACACTGGGACAACCCGGGGATGGCCTTGGGGACACCAAAATGGCCTTGAGGACACCGAGATGGCCTTGGGGACACTTTGGGAACATGGGGACACCCCTGGGGACACTTTGGGGACATCGAGACACCCTTGGGGACACTGGGATGGCCTTGGGGACAGGGGGACAACCTGGGGATGGATTTGGGGACACCAAAATGGCCTTGAGGACACCGAGATGGCCTTGGGGACACTTTGGGGACACTGGGATGGCCTTGGGGACAGGGGGACAACCTGGGGATGGATTTGGGGACACCAAAATGGCCTTGGGGACACCGAGATGGCCTTGGGGACACCAGGTTAGCCTTGGGGACAATGACACGGACATGGGGACACCCCTGGGGACACTTTGGGGACACTGGGATGGCCTTGGGGACATCCTTGGGGACATGGGGACACTTTGTGGACACTTTGTGGACACTTTGGGGACACTTTAGGGACACCAGAATGGCCTTGAGGACACCGAGATGGCCTTGGGGACAATGAGAGGGACTTGGGGACACCCCTGAGGACACTTTGGGGACATTGAGACCCCCCTGGGGACACCAGGATGGCCTTGGGGACACTTTGGGGACACGGGGACACCCCTGGGGATGGATTTGGGGACACCAAAATGGCCTTGGGGACATCGAGATGGCCTTGGGGACACCTTGGGGACACTTTGGGGACACTGAGACACCCCTGGGGACACTGGGCATGGCCTTGGGGACACTGGGATGGCCTTGGGGA